GGTCATCCCCGGTGTAAAAACCTGACTAGGTTTTCTTTGTTTCATGAGGTTGTTTTGCTGTACGCTATTGTTTATAATGTTTTGTTGTCTTTGTTTTATGTCACTCGTGAGCTTCACAGGTTTTTACACCGAGGATGAGCCGATTTTTCCGGCTGTAAAGCACTACTTCTTTCTCCAAAATGTTTTAAATGATGTCGGAAGATTTTTATTTATTTCGTTTGTTTACACCTTCACTGCTGTCTTAGCTGAACTGAAAGGATTGTAAACACTCGCATCATTCGTATCGTCCATTTTACAGGCTCAATAGCCAAAATCAAGGAAAATACATCTCCGAGAGTATGTATTTTCAAGATTTCCGGGGGGGGGGGACATGCCCCCAGACCCCTAGGTATAGCCTGCCAAAGGCACGCTAGAGTGGGCCTTTGGCCCAAGTATCCGCCTATCATTGCTAGATTTCCGCTTGTTAAAAACTTTAGCTACATTCCTGCTCTCTAAAGTAATAAAAAAATACTAAAATGTACAAATTCACAGTTGAATAACTCACCACTGAAATATCAACAAATCCAGAAAGTTTTAGTGCAGAAACCAGTTTTTCAGGAGGCCTCAGATCTCCACTTGTTCCTGATGTTAGAGATTAAACATTTTGGGGGTAAAAAAAAAAGAACTTTTTCCAAAAGTTAAACTAATGAAAATCATGTTTTCACTATAAATTCCCCACAAATCAATCAAATCTTAGAATGCAACGGTTAAGTTGTGCACGAATAATACTCATAATTAAATCAGTTTTGTAAGTAATTAAATCAGGCTTGCAATGATGTAAAACTTTTCTTGTAAGCATAAGACAAGTTGTTAACATATATAACCAACTCTACCTGGTGAAAACCTCAAAAGGCTTCAGACCATACAGCAATAAGAGGTCTCCAAAATTTGATAAACATGTTTTGTCAGCCCTGAAGGAATGTTTCATTAAATGCATGTTTAACAAGTGGGTAAGATTAACACCACTGGCACCAAGTTAGGTTCCTTATCACCATATCCATAGCTGCAATAACTTACCTGCAGGCTCTGCAAGGGTCACCTTTCCACTGGGCTTTAAAATTCTGGCAATTTCGGCCAGAATGTCCAGGCTATGAACCAGGAAGGAAGGTAGCATCATCCCGGATAATACAACATCAAATGAAGACTCTGGATGAGATGCTGTGGGAAAAATTATTTTGAGTATTACTAAAATGATGTTAGAATATACCACAACAGTAAATAAGTAATCAAAACCATGGCAAGCTCATGGTCTCTCATTTTCAGTGAACTTCAGTTTTTGGACTTGTGTTGATTGCAAAGTATCCATTAAGGCTGGTAATTCAAGAGAACACTTGAAAAAGGAACTAAAAAATTATCCAATCAATACATTAATCTCCAAAAGAAGACAACCATCCGCATGACTGAATGACCTCAGAGACGTAACTTATTGTAATAAATCAATGTACAATGTACAGCAGATTGACAGAAATCAACAATGGGTTGTCTTTATTCTAAATTCTGATCTTACTCCATTAATTAGTAGTCATTTTGAAAGCTCACGCGTATGAGTTAATCTCCTCAAGTGCTAAAAATTTAGAATTTGAATCACATACTAATAACGTCTTCTCTATATTTAACTTATGCAAGTCATACCACGTAATAATAAAAGGTGGAAACTTTTCCACGACGATTCATATCTTGGTAAATTATCCTGACTTTTATCACAGCGTTTTTCAAACGGAAGATCGAAAAGCCTTCAGCCTTAATTTCTCAATAAATTCAGCAAAGATTACACATCATATCAAAGTAACTTTAAATTTCGAGTCATGGCTCGTTTGAAAGTTCAAAACCCACTGATCAAGAAATAAATCGGCCTAAATCGTTTATTGATAAATCCCAGAAATCCTAGGCCTTCAAAAGGGGGGATGCGGAATGAAAATGGAATGGCCTTTATAAAAAGGGAATCATCATAAATCATCCATCAGAACATTCTAACAGTACTTACATAACTTTAGTCTTTCCTCATTCTCGACGGCAACCACACCCGTAGATCCAACTGAAGAATTTAACTGAATCACGATCTCTTCTATTTTCTTAGGAGGAGTAATTCCAGACCAAATCACGAGGATATGTTGTCCCTGTTTCACTTCACCTGTTTCGGCCATTTTGACGCATTCGTTCCCTGTACTATTCGTGTATTACTTACATGAAAACGTGTATCCCGATTAGCTCAATCTCAGGCCCATCGGTCAAGGATAGAGAAATGATCCTGGGAACAAGGCCCACTTTTGACTTTGTGGGACATTTTGTGCCCCTCTATCAAGTGTATTCTTGGTCAAACCAACATGGCGGACGTTGAGGAAAGGTTGAGTAACGTAGTAAATGTTGCTGAAAGCAAGCGGGCCGCTAAAAGGAAAGCAAACCAAGCTACAAAGAAACAACAAAAGGTTTGCTCTACATATATCGTATGTTTTGTCCGCGATATTCCTATCTCCCTTTTTACTTATCAAGTTATTTTCGGTAACTTTACTGATTTTGTTACTTTAATTGTTGGTTACTTTAATTGGCTGTTGTTTAGTCTAGTAATTAGTGTGTGTCTGTAAGAGGAGAGGAACTGAGTCCATATCCCGTCCTCTTTGTTACCTGGAAGTATGGAGCTTCTAATAATTTTCAAACAGCTGAAAGATTATTTTTCGCAATCCCAGGCTACGGTACAATAAGTTTTTGATGACATTTCCGTGAATTTGAATTATCTGGTTCACTGTAATTTATCAAGGCTCCAATGCCAGAGTTATGGTGTATGATCATGAGTGGATCTGCTTTGTATGAAGACACTCAGTTACTTTACAGTTAACCTTCTATTAAGGTTACTTCTTACCTTCTCGGGTGTCCTTCGGGAAAAATTCGTTCGCGCGCTAGTTTCCAGAAAGTCCAAACAAACTATACATTAGAAGAAAGCTTGCTAAATGTTCGAGGTACGTCTCTCAAAATCAAATGCAAGATTTTAGCTCCTAAAGATTTGTAAACAACTGGCGTCACACCAGAAGATTATCTCACCTCCTGAAACCGCAAACCAATGGGACAACCAGACCTCCTGGCATCAATGACAATGGATCAAGATTGTTGTAAAAATGGGTGTTACGAAAACGAAGACCTTCACAGGGGTTTCATTCATGTTTTCTGCAGGAGGGCAACTGGTTTTCACAGGCGGGAAAAACTCTTTGAACTGAACTTCTTTATAAGATAAACTTTCCTCCAGACTGTCTAATCAGGTGGGCAAAACTGTCCTCACAACCGGTCAATTTGCCCGGTGCCTGGCCCTTAATGAAACCCCTGCCCTCAGAAACGAAGACCTAAGACCTAAGACCCTATAAACAGAAAACTGTAGAAATTAGAACTTAAACACACATTAAATAGCAACAATGGTTAGTGATAAATTATAATACATTACACTTCACGCGTTTCTTCCCATTATTATCTATATTATTATATGGCCCGTCTTGTCTATTCTGTTTCGCTATGCGAGCCAATTTGGTGTTGATATTCTCGAGGGTTTCCTCGGGTAAACTTACAACACATATTATTATTCTGGAACAGCAGGCAGAATTCGAACGCTAGCCGTCTTTGATGTATAGTTAGCATTGTGTGACAGAATAACAGAAAAGGCGTTCTGTACAGGAAAAATTACTTTTGGGTTCTGTCAATAAATAATCAATATCTACTGTATTTCGTAGCTAAAATAGATTCTGACKGTCGTTCAGCTTTCTCTGCTGGAAAATTCTCGTTAAAAGGTAAGCAATTCTTTTGGCTAATGCAGGGTCTTTGTTTTCGTAGTACAAAAAAGAAGACCCTTATTGAAAGCAGAAAATCCTTTGAAAGTATGATTGTAGATGTACCCTGAGCACTAGTAATTGTTATTTCAGCTTTTGATATGCTAAGACAGTTCGCTCGTGGTTTTCTTGTTCTTTCTTCAGCCACCACTGCTTTCGGCTATACGATTTGTTTTTCTATGCAATGAGTCCAAATTTGGAACAGACATCCCCATCAAAGGAGTGATCGGAATATTTTCGTTTTCATTCTACGAAAACGAAGACCCTGCATTAGCCAAAAGAATTGCTTACTTTTTAACAAGAAATTTCCAGCAGAGAAAGCTTAATGATCGTCAGAATCTATTTTAGCTACAAAAATAATACAGTAGAAATTGATCATTTATTGACAGCGCCCAAGAGTCATTTTTCCTGTACACAACGCGTTCTCTGTTATTCTGTCACGCAATGCTAACTACAAATCAAAGGCAGCTGGCGTTGGAATTCTGCCTGCTGTTCCAGATTAATAATATGTGTGGTAAGTTTACCTGAGGAAACCCTCGAGAATATCAACACCAAATTGGCTCACTAGTGAAACAGAACACTCACAAGACGGGCAGTATAATAATATGGGCAGTATGATAATAGGAAGAAACGCGTGAAGTGTAATGTATTATATTACTAAGTGTTGTTACTGTTTAATGTGCGTTGAACTTGTAATTTCTATGGTTTTCTGTTTACAGGGTCTTAGGTCTTAGGTCTTTGTTTTCGAGGGTCTTCGTTTTCATAACACCCGTTGTAAAGTAGAGGCAACACAATAGTGGGCAAAGTTGCCAAAGGAAAATGAAAAACCCAAGGTAAAAGATGCAAAAACTGGAAAATGTGCTGAGAAGCAAGACAATCAATCAACAAACTGCTTTCAAAATTACCATAATTTCCGGCCATTTACCAGCACAGCCAATTACCCACACCAGCCAATTATTGCATGCAGCGAAAAAAAAGTCAACAGATTACCCGCACTGGTGGATAACCCGCACCTTAAAAGCAAATAAAATTTGTACAAAAAGGCTCACAACGTTTCATACTTGACAGAATGCGAATTTGTGGCCACATTTTGTGTGAGAGATCATTCAACGCCATGTCGAATTGTTGATTTCTCAAAAAAATCAATATCTCCTGTTCTACTGGGCTTAGCAAGTGCCTTAAAATGGGAAAATTCTCTTCAGCTCAAGCTAGTGTTAACTGGAAATTTGTTACTGATGTGCCAGATACCCTGAGATTATTTTTACCACCATCAAGGTTTTGTTTACATGCATGCCAATAAAAATTTGTTCATTGCACAACTAATTGTGAGTGAAATAAATTTGAGTCGGCATCATGTTTTCGTGCCACTTTGTGGCACTTTAATACTATAACAATAAAATACATTTGAGAGGTGGAAATGCAGGTAGGTGAAATTTTTTTCAATTCAACTTCCAGTAGATTTCAAAATTATCACATAACCTGCACCTTCCTATTACCCGCAGTGGCGAGTGTTTAGGGAAAAATCAACAGATTACCCGCAGGTAAATGGCCGGAAATTACAGTACAATTCCAGGCAATTGTAATTGTTTTTGTGTCAAGGCTGGGACTTGCATAAATAAAACAAAACCTTGTTTTTAACTTAATGTATGACAAGTTTTGGTTTGACAACAACTTTGTTCGATATCTGGACGCCAGCATGGAGCAGAGTACCAGTCCCTTTCACTGAGGATTTTTTTCTTTCTGGACAGAATGATCAACTCCTTATTTCTTTGGGCATGTTTTTTTTTTCTTTTTTTTAACTCAAGGACTTTTTTCTGCTTCTGATTTTTGAATTTTGTCAACTGCACAATGTAAACAAAATATGCAAAAGACATGAAGAGGAGTGGTTGCCACAAAAATTCCCCCAGGGGATTTGTCCAGGAATGAGATTATGACACCTACCTGGTTTATTAACTTTTATTTGAAATATGCTTCTCTAATTAACTCAGATGGTTTTGAAGATTTTTAATTAATTTTTGGGAAATGCTGGGTAAAATGTGTGACTTCAATTAAGTCAAATAAAAGAAAAAATATTTTTTCTGCCTTTGTGGAACCTGTATGAAATGGTCAAGCTGTATTATATGCGGTCACCCTGCTATTCTTTGTGGGTGACTGCTTAATACAGGTTCAACTGTATTCTCAAATTTGGTGATGGTTTGTGTAAAGTTTGAATTTTATTTGCATTCATAATTTTTTTTAACAGCTGCTATATTTGGAAGGAGCTGCAGATTTACTTAAATTTTGTTTCAAATGGCAAAATTTAGATTCAAAGCCATAAACAAAAGGTCTTAAGTCCTTTATTTGTCTTTCATCTCCTCCTAAAGGACATTTCCAGTTCAAAGGAGGAGGCATTCAATGCGCATTAAATTCATTTAAAAAGACAACATGATTGTTTGATTATTCTTAACTTGGTTTTGACCATTTTACCTTCTCTTGTTAGTTTAGTTAATGCACACTTGTCTGAATAATTTCCCCTTTTATTCCTTAATTTTGAGAGTGTATTATGTGCAGCTGTATTACTTATCTGTCACTTTCTTTAATTTAGAAAGTTCTCAAAGTTGAAAAAAATACCAAGAGTGCAGGATTTGATAAAGAAATCTTCCTTGAAACCAAATGTTTTGTTAAAAATGGTGAGTATTAAATACATTCTTTGCTCATTATGTAGAGGAGGGCTCACTGTAGTTCCTGGCCATTTATGTGTCAATCAGTTTGAAGCTTTAACATCCCCCTGGGTAACCCACTGGCAATTGACTTTTGTCTTTGCCAGAGGGGGTGGGGGGAATTTGAATGGAAGTGTCAAGTCTATGGACCAGAAAAAAGGTGTTTCTAGGTAAATACCGTAATTCACTTTCAGGAGCGAAAGACCCAGAGGAAAATGTCTACAATTTCTTGCTTTTAAAGCTTGGTTGATGTGAAGAAAATCACAGGCCTGTGGGGGTTTTCCCCTGTACAAGAAATATTGATCATTAAATCCAGCAGCTGGGTATGGCATTTAAACACAATTTTGGTGCTAGAGGGTGGGAATTTGAGTGGATCAATGTTCAAAATTCAAATGCCTAGGGTAGGCGGGGGAAGGCAGTTGCCCACTGGGGATGTTGAAGCTTTGAATTAATTGACACATTACTCACACTGGCCAGCTTTAAGCATTAGGTGAATAAAAGTCATTTGATAAGCTGCATATTGAAAATAAAAGAACATAAAGAAACAATGCTCCAGAGGCTACAAATTTAGAGACAAGTTAAGAGCAGTACCCTTTTCTTTTTTTGGAAGCAGTTGTCTTCATGTATTAGAGGTCTTCAGCCTGGATGTGAGTAATAAGTATAAACAAAGCAGTATTTAATACTGATAATATTCTTGTTTACTTTGCTTCCAATTTAATGGTGAAAATAATTGCTTCTAAGTAAATCCAGGAACTACAGTAACTTATTTCAAGTTTGATGTGGTAAATATCCCATTCACCAACACTTCATACTTATACATACGATGCACGATCCTCGCAGTAGATAGCGCTATTTAAGCAATAGCGAAAATCAGACCTGAAAAAAATCAGGCCTGTACGGGATTCGAACCACTGACCTCTGCGATACTAGTGCAGCGCTCTACCAATTGAGCTAACAAGCCAACTGGGAGCAGGCCGTTAAGTTGATTCGTAATAAACCCGTGAAAGTGATAAATCAGATACAATGAAATATATGAAGTTCATATATTTTGAACTGCGGTATTAGATACGTATGATGCACGATCCTCGCAGTAGATAGCGCTATTTAAGCAATAGCGAAAATCAGACCTGAAAAAAATCAGGCCTGTACGGGATTCGAACCACTGACCTCTGCGATACTAGTGCAGCGCTCTACCAATTGAGCTAACAAGCCAACTGGGAGCAGGCCGTTAAGTTGATTCGTAATAAACCCGTGAAAGTGATAAATCAGATACAATGAAATATATGAAGTTCATATATTTTGAACTGCGGTATTAGATACGTATGATGCACGATCCTCGCAGTAGATAGCGCTATTTAAGCAATAGCGAAAATCAGACCAA